ATTTTAAAGGCTATTGTTCACTTACATCTATTTTTATTACCACAAAAAAAATTATTATAATTATAGGGCCCTATGAAATCCGTTTTATTTCCAAATTCAGTTTATTTCCATTTTCATTTTTCTATACTCTGTTTTAATGGTTAAATAAAACTGTATTAATCAAAAAGCCTGTCTAATTGATTGAGTTTTACAGTTTTTCTTTACCAAATTCTGTTTTCCAGTATTTCCATTATTCCATTTTAATGGTTCCATTAAATTTTAATAATCAAAAGCATCTCCAATTAATTGATTTTATTGATTTTATAAATAAATAAATAACAAATATTTTTTTTCAGAAATACTGCGCATTTACATTTTTCTCCTAAATAAATTCTGGTAAATAATATTTCTGGTAAATACTCCTTTAAAAAGTGTTTTTTGATTATAATTTTATTATTAGTAGACTAGAACACATGGATATGTTGTCATTCTTACACTATAATACTGAACTTTGATTTCAGTGATTTGGACTATGAGATGGACACTTGCTTCTTGCACTCTATGTTGCACTTTACTTTTGCTTTAAAAAAAGGATTTCATAGAAATTTGGATTTCATCTGGTTTAATAAAATATAGTTGAATAAAATATTCTTAAGTAAAATTGTTGATTTTTTTTGTGGGTAATTAATCGTTTAGATTAATTGATAAATTAGTTGATACATTAATCAAAATAAAAATTGTCGGTAGTGGCAGCCCTAATAAAATTCTATCAATAGACTAAACCGTTTTTCCTTCTACAGTGAGATTTTGCTACATTTAGAAAAAGCTTAGCTAGTGAATATGAGTGAGTTGGTGTTAAACTTAAATGACATGGGGAAAATGCTGAGTACCATTAATTGCTTCATAAGTTTTAGTCGTCTCCAGAGGCAGTTTCTGCTTTTTCCCCTTCCCCTTCATGTTGAATTTTGCCATCAACCGGTTGGTAAAGAGCCTAAAGAAACAAATGCACCATTTAAAAATTACATGTGTGGTAATCTACAGCTGTAGCATGGGTGAATGTGCTAAGAGTGGACTCAAGAGATGTGGTTTTGCACACTGTAGTTTTCTGAAATTGATTAAACAAACCTCTGGGAGGTGACCATTTGATAGCTCCAATGACATTCTTTCCCTGCACCTGTCAGACCCCCTCCTCTTTAACTTCCACGTCAGGTTTCTATGCAGTCTCATGATTGCATTTCAGATAATTCAAGTCTGTGTGAACTGGAATTTGCTGCTGACTTCATTTCAGTACAGTGACGTATTTCCAACTAAAACAGAATATTAAATAGCAGGGATGGTTTTATTGTAGTGCTCCTCCTCTCCATCTCACTCATAGCAAACTAACGGTTGGAGGGACGTGGTTAAGGATATTCTGCCCAATCAGACTGACATCATCATAGAAGAAATGAAATTCCAGAGCAGAAGCAAATGGTCAGATTTTGATTAAAGATTGCCAAGAAAAACTATTTTTTATTTAGTGGATTAACTTGCAAAAATATAATTTCACAATTTTTTTCAGGAAAATCACAATTACGATTTTATCACGATTCTTTGTCATGTTGGTTTTACTATTTTGCAAGTCGTCTGAGCAGTACAGCCAAACTAATTTCCCTATTTTAAAAACAAAAGCCTTACAAGGTAACAAAATAAATCCTCTGGTAGCAGGTGTCCTTGATTTCTTAATATTGCCAATAATTCATTTAAGGATCTTTGTGTGGTTTTGTTCTTTGTAGACCATTGTCTTAAGTTATCTTCTAAATCGGGAAAGTCCAATTCAGCCTCATCATTTAGAACTTCTTTTTCTGAGTCAGAAGACACATACTCCACATCAGTGTCAAAGTCTGATTCATCTGTTGTCAAACTGTCAGTTGCCGAATTAATACTTTCAAAACTGCTTGTAGTGTCTGCCTGGTTATGTAATCCACAGGCTGATCTATCGGTCACTGATCTCTGACATTCATGGTCATCATCAGTGTCAGAATGCAGTAACAGATCCATTTCTGCCTTCCTTTTTCGCCATGCTTTTAGATAAGCCATCTGTAATATAGTTTGATCCTGAGTCAGATTCTGAACTGTGCTTCTGCTTGAACAGAAACTTACCTTCTTAAGCCTTGTGCTTTAACCTGAAAGAGATAAAGAAGTATATTCGTTATTACAAAACTATTATATAAAATTATATCTTCATTGAATCAAATGAGAATTACTCC